TCTTTCTTCTCTCTCTCTCGATGGAGTTTTACTCTTGTTGCCCAGGCTGGAGTGCAGTGGCACCATCTGGGCTCTCTGCAACCTCCGCCTCCTAGGTTCAAGTGATTCTCCTGCCTCAGCCTCCTGAGCAGCTGGGATTATAGGAGTAAGCCACCATGCCCAGCTAATTTTTGTATTTTTAGTAGAGATGCGGTTTCGCTATGTTGGGAGGCTGGTCTCGAACTCTTGACCTCAGCCTCCCAAAGTGCTGGGATCACAGGCATGAACCACTGCTCTGGCCTGTTTTTAAAATAGTTTGTTTCTCTGCTGAGATTCACTGTGAACACGTTTTTATTTATGTCAAACAGCAAGGTTATAATAGCTATTTTAAAATCCTGGTCTGCTAATTCTAACCTTTGAGTCATCTTGAGGTTGATCTTGGTTGTTTTTCTCTTGAGAATGGGTCACCTTTTTCTCTTTCTTTGTATACTGAGTAATTTTGGATTGTAACTTAGATATTATGAAAGCCATGTTATGGAAACTTTGAATTCTCTCATATTTCCTCAAAGAATGCTGACATTTTTGGCATTCAGTTAATTTGGTTGGACTGCAACTGCAAGCTCTGTCTCTTGGGTAGCAGCTCAAACCTTAGTTCGGGTCTTTTATTCTTAGCTGGACTGCATGAGGTCTGCTCTGTGTTTATGAGATTCAGGGGTCAGCCAGAGATTTGGTCAAAGTTTATACACAGAAATTGCGGTTCCCTTTCTCTGACACTTTTTGGGATTCCCCCCTTACTTTGCAATGTCTGTGGTGGTTTCAAACTCTGTCCTCTGTTTTTTAGGCCATAAAGACTGAAGGTTTTCTGTGAGTTTTAGCTGTCTTATATGGTGCCAACTGTGGCCTGCTCTGAGACTAAAAGCTGAAAAAAGTGGCAGACTTACCCCATGCTACCTCCTTTCAAGTGTCAGCTCCCTTTTTGAATCTGTCTGCTTTTGTTCTGTGAACAGTTCCTTCAAGTAATTTGTTTTGTATTTTATTGAGAGTTTATAGTTGTTATCTGTGGGAGGTTAGGTACATTAGAAACTTACTCAGACATATTACTCAGCCCATTTCAAGTCATTAACTTTAAACAATGGCAAGTTAATTATGTGTGCTAAAGTATTTAACATACCCATAAAGAGAGCTTTTTTTTTTTTTTTTAAACAAATGGGGAGTGACAACCAATTAAAGAATCATTGTATTATTCCAAATTTTCATAAGTGTAGCCACTTAAAATAACATATATTTATTATTTCACAGTTTCTGTGGGTCAGAAGTCACCCAGTTAGCCAAGTCTTCTATTTTAGGGTCTCACAAGACTGCAGTCAAGGTGTTGTTGAGGGCTGCAATCTCATCTGAGACTCAACTGGGGAAGGATATGTTTCTATGCTCATGTGGTTGTTGGCAGCCTGCAAGTCATTATAGGTTGTAAGACCCAGGGTCTCAGTTTCTTGCCAGATATTGGCTGGGAGTGTCCTCTGTTTCTTGTCATGTGTGCCTCCCTAACATGGTCACTTGCTTCATCAATGTCAGCAAGGGAGAGGGACTTCTAGCAAGATAGATTATAATCTTATGCAATGTAATCACAGATATTACATTCCATCCTCTTTACCAGCTACACTCAAGGGAAGGAGATCTCAAATGTGTAAGTAACAGGAGGCAGAGATAAGGGGAAAGACTCTTAGAGTCTTTTCATGGCAGTTATGAAATCATTTTAGAAAGTGATAAACAGGATAGAGTAGGGTAAAATAGACAAGAGGATATTGCTTTCAGTAAAAGCAACTACTGTCTCATAGAAGTTTTGATTCAATCAATCGATAATTGAATTCAATAATAATAATTCAATATATGTATATCTAATATATATTATGATTTCTATGTCATTATATATATCATCATACATATCTTGATCACCATGTAAAATATATTGTGTCACGGTCAAAAAGATTTGAAAAACACACCATTAGATATATAAATAGAAGGCATAACTTTTAAAATAGCAGAAGGGAAAAGTGGAATGAGAAAAAAATTTCAAATATGAGATTAAGAAAGGAGAAAAAAAGAAACACAAAAACGTTACTTTTTCTGCCTCCTATCTTCCTGTTTTATGGTCTGAAGTTTCTCTCAAGGCAATAAGGTGGGGCAGTCACAGGGCTTGCATTGTTTATTTATCATATCTCAAGAAACACTGTCCTCCATTCCTCAATGTCTAATGTTTTAGAAAGTATCAATTTATATTTTCTGCCTGATTGTTTAGTTGTTTCAGGTGGAAAGATTAATATAGTCCCTGTCACTCCATCTTGGTCAAGAGTGAAAGTCCCAGTCCCAGATAGCTTACCCACAAGTTCTACCAAACATTCGTGGGACAAATAATAAATAATAATAACAAAAATTTCAGTTCACACAAATTTTCCCAGAGAAGATGAAAAGGAGTATTTCCCCTAAGAAAAATCATATTTGCCCTCCCGGTCCTTCCAGTGGTTTGAGACACTGGTATACACTTTTTGCCAGATAGGCTCTTCTCCAATATCAGTGCTCAAGACATAGTGAAGAAAAAAAAAAAAAATCCCCGAATGATGATTAGAGACATCGCCACTAAAAAACTACATTTATAAGCTAGGATTTGTTATATGCAAATATTTTCTGCCTCTTATTTTGTTCTGTTTAAAATATTAACGTACATTTGTATAAATAATGCTTTAAAAAAAAAAAAGAAAAGGAGTATTTCCCCACTCATGTTATGAGGCCAGCATAACTTGACTAAAACCTGGAGCGTACAGAATTAGGAAAGCCAATCTCTCTTAGAAACATAGATGTGGAAATCTTAGATGGAACACTGGCACAGCAAGTCCAGAAATATGTAAAATGTCAATACCTTGTGACTAAGTTGGGTTTATCCTAGGAATGCAAGTTGGATTTTAAATTAGAAAATCAGTTAATATAATTTGCCAAATTAACACTTTCTGGTTAAAAATAAAAAACAATGTTAATAGCATTTTAAATTTTAATTTAGTTTAATTTAATTTTTCTTGAGACAGAGTTCCACTCTGTCGCCTAGGCTGGAGTGCAGTGGTGTGATCTCAGCTCACTGCAACCTCTGCCTCCCAGGTTCAAGTGATTCTCCTGCCTCAGCCTCCTGAATAGCTGGGATTACAGGTGCCCACCACCACCATGCCCGGCTAATTTTTGTATTTTTAGTAGAGACGAGGTTTCACCACGTTGGCCAGGATGGTCTCAAACTCCTGACCTCAGGTGATCCACTTGCCTCGGCCTCCCAAAGTGCTGGGATTACAGGCATGAGCCACTGCGTTCAGTCGTTAATAGCTTTATTTATTTATTTATTTATTTATTTATTTATTTGAGATGGAGTCTCGCTCTGTCTCCCAGGGTGGAGTGCAGTGGCCTGATCTCGGTTCACTGCAAGCTCCGCCTCCTGGGTTCATGCCATTCTCCTGCCTCAGCCTCCTGAGTAGCTGGGACTACAGGTGCCCACCACCACGTCCGGCTAATTTTTTTTTTTGTATTTTTAGTAGAGACGGGGTTTCGTCGTGTTAGCCAGGATGGTCTGGATCTCCTGACCTGGTGATCCACCCGCCTCGGCCTACCAAAGTGCTGGGATTACAGGCGTGAGCCACCGCGCCTGGCCAATAGCATTTTTAAACATCAGAAATTAAAATAAAATACAATTTATAAAAGCACATCATTGACTTTTGGGTAAAAACAGTGGATTGAATACAAATATTTTTAGTTATTCACTCCCCAAACCTCACTTAAGTGACAGCAACTATAGCAACATTTTTTAAAAAATCATAAACCAATAAATAGGAGGAGGTAATAGAGGACACAACAATTTAGAAGCTAGAAGGCAGCTGGATGAGCTGGAAATGAGTAAGCAGTCTAAAGAAAACTGAATTAAAGCTGGAAGTGGGGAAAACAAAGGACCAACCCAATTTAAACCACAAAATAAATAAAAGCTCAGACTCTAGTGGCACCATAAACATCTAGAAATAGGGGGAAATGTGGAGGAGCTAAAATAAGGAGGTTTGGTTGAAATAGTATTTAAGAATCAAATCCTTAGATACTCTATTCCTTCTCCTTTTCATGCAGCCAGCCATCACTCTGTACTTATAATGCTATACTACCCCAATCCTGAAAAAAAGACTTCAAGCCCTTCTATAGCAAGGGTGAAACAGAGGCCCTCTGAACCTGGGGATTCCAAGCATAACTGAAGATAAACTTAGTAAGCAGAAAATGGGAGGCTTAGCTGAAGCATGTATATTGGTTGCTGAGAAACTATTTAGCCCCCAGGCTTCATTCTCCACTTAACTCTCAGAATTCCCAGCAGGAGATTAGTAGAGAAGTAGAAAAGAGCCTAAAAAAACTGACACCGGCATTTCTCCACTAAATGACCCAGTCAAATCACCTTACTGTCAATGTCACAATTGGTAAGCCCCATTCATGTGCTTAATCAGCATTTTAATCTCTCATTCTTAAAAATTAACAAATATCCGCCAGGTGCAGTGGCTTATGCCTGTAATTCCAGCATTTTGGGAGGCCGAGGCCAGCAGATTACTTGAGGCAAGGAGTTCGAGACCAGCCTGGCCACAATGGCAAAACTCTGTCTCTACTAAAAATACAAAAATTAGCCGGGCATAATGGCGGACAACTATAATTTCAGCTACTCAAGAGGCTGAGGCAGGAGAATCACTTGAACCCGGGAGATGGAGGTTGCAGTGAGCCAAGATTGCACCACTGTACTCCAGCCTGGGTGACCGCGAGACTGTCTCAAAAAGCAAAGCAAAACAAAACAAACAAACAAAGGAACCACAAATATTGCCACTAAAGTATCTATTATGAAAATTAGATACCAAAACCAAACAGAACAAAATCATTCATTGAGTTTCTAATAAGCTTTGCAGTGGCCCACTTTTATATATAAGTACATAATTATATATAAAAGTGGAACATGTCACACAGCCACTAACTGGCACAGCCAGGACAAGGAGCTGAATATTTCAGCTTGTCTTCTCTCACCCTCCATGCCAAAATGCTTCCTGAAACTGAGGATTTTAGGCACTGGGGCTTCCTCTCTTAGATAGGAAATAATCCAATAGACACATTCTCCTAAGATACGAATGATCGTCCTTTCTTCTTTACTCCTCAGCTCTCAAACTGGGAATTGCATTTGAAAAAAGGAGCTTGCTTAATTTACATTAGAACCATGATAATGGTGGATTTCTAAACCAGAGAATATGGGGCTTTGTCGGGCATAGTAAAGACTGTGGATTTTTCTTTTTCTAGTTGTGATGTGGAGTCTTGGAGGATTTTTAACCTGAGTTATAACAAGGGCTGACATATATTTTAAAAAGTATCCTTCTGGGTGTTGTATGATTTATTCTTGCTGGTCCCTAAAAGATGATGGTGGACAAAGGGAGGTGTGTGAGCTCCGGGTGTTGGGGCCACACTGGGTGCGGGGGTGTTGGGATGGTGGCTGAGCATGAAAAAGACAGGCTGTTCTAGAGCAAACTGTACCCGTGGGCAGCTAATGGCACGTGTGAGTGACACAATTCCCAACTGATTAGAGGCAGCAGAGAGTCCTGAGCTCACCTCCATTTCTTGCCACTTCACCAGAGCTGAGACTACTCTGTGGGCTACTTGAAGTCATGAAGCCTTTTTTGGTAACTTTGGCTGTGCTGCTGCTCTTCTTCCAAGTCACTCCAGGTAACCTAGACCTCTTCAGGGGAGGGTCTGGGAGTAGACAGTGAGTCTTGGTCAGGGTACACCAGGGCCTGGGAGGATGGGCTGACAGGGAGTAATGTGAAGTATTAATTGTCTGGAGGAAGAGGAAAGAGTCTCCAGATCCTGGTTTAGAACATGACTCACCATTTTCAAGTTCTGTAATGCCCCCAGCAAGCTACTTGGTGCTTATGAGTTTCAGTTTATTCCTGTCTCAATTTAAAATAATAAATTAGGTTGAGGGATCAACATTGGAGACCCTGAAATTTTGATGTAAAACAAACGTAGCTTTTTAAATTTTCTGTAATTCGTTTGAATGTTTCCCATCCTGCTGGTAGGAAAAGTGAGAGTTAGGGCACAGGGATGTACGCAACTTCAGAAGACAATTGTATTCATCTTTTTTGATTTAAAAGAGCCTCTCAGATTAGCTCATTCTGCTTTAAAATGTTTAGTCTTTCAGCATTTCTGCTTTCATCCTGCCCCCTTCTTCTTCTCAGGATGGCAGCTGGATTTAGGGGATAGTGGACATGTCATTGCTTAGTTAAATAACTCGTTCGTTCAGTAAATATTGTTGAGTGGATTCCGTGTGCCAGGCACAGGTGCTGGAGATAGAGCAATGAATCAACCAACCAACCAACCAACCAAACAAACAAAATCTCCATCTTCTTGGAGCTTATGATTCTACTGGAGGAGGGAATGAGCAGGGTAAGCAGGGGATAGCAAGTATCAGGGGATGTGAGTTTGGAGCTTAAAAAGGGGTATTAAGGAAATACCTCACTGAGAAGGTGACATTCAAATGAAGACTCGAAGGAAGTGAGGGGTGAACCATACAGATATGTTGGGAAGAACCTTCATTTATAAGCTGAATTCCTTATCAAAGAGGCATTTTCCCTCATCTATTTGGTTACCTCGGGGTTTAGAGAGTTCAGAGAGGAAGGCAGGATAAATGCTTGAGTTTATCTTTGCTTAATCAGTTTGAGAGATAATGAATTAGTTTTCTGTCAGCCTCTGAGGTTGAGCCATTAGGTTTTCTTTAATATTATTTATTTTGAACTGATGATTCTAAGCAATGAGTTCAATCTATTACAATTATTATCGCTGTAGAAGTACAAATTGTCCTAATCTTGGCCAATAAGAGTCTCTTTAATTTGGCTCATTAGTCTTTTAGATATATCCCTATCAGTCTTTGATGGCTTTCTTGGTATCTGGTACTACAGAATGTTTCAAGATCATCTTGTAATTTACTGCCCAATAACTGGAATCCACCATATCTCCAAGAAGTCCTGTTTTTTAAAAAAAAGTTTACGGGGAGATAGTATTTTAAGATTACAACATGGGTACTAGGGATACTAATTTCTACTAGTTAGTCATTGTTTCTAAACTTTCTTAGTGACCAGAGCTGGAAAAATTTCAGTCTATTTATCCATCTGTCAATCATCTATTTATTTTATCTATTTAAATATAAAATACTTGTGAGTTCATACTGGCATTTTCAATTCAAATTCAGAACTCAAATTCAGAATCAACTTTTATATACATCAGTATTTTCTTTTCTATACTGAGAATTCTGGTTCTCAAGGTCACAGGGGATGATAGAATTAGAATATCCCATGATTACTCATTTGATTGATCTCTCATTACATATACAATAGTCGTAGTAAAATAATATCAATCCTACCATAATGTCATGATTACCCAAACTAGTTAAGATGTCTGCATATGCTGTCACCATTATTCTCTTATTTTTATGTTGTACTGTATTTATATTGTCAGAACATATAGCCATTATGTACTTCACTCCCTCTTTTAAAATCCTCATTTTGGTTCTACAAGTATCTTTATATTTAATATTTAGTTCTGTATCAATGCTCCTCTCATTTGCTTGTCTACAGCTCTTTTTCTAGTAGATTCTTTAGAAAGGGCTCATGGGTTTCACTGGATATTTCCTGAGTTTCAATATGGTGATAGACTATAACACCACCCTAGATATCTAGAGGGAATGCCTCCTTCTTCTACAGCCCCCTTCTTCTGTCTGGCCCTCTGTTAGTCTTCTCAATCCAGGACCCATTTCTGCTCATAACTGATATCAGGTCCTTTCTTTTTTCTTTTTGCAGTAGGCAGCATTGAAAAATGTTGGAATTTTCGTGGCTCCTGCCGTGACGAATGCCTGAAGAACGAAAAGGTCTATGTTTTCTGCATGAGTGGTAAATTGTGCTGTTTGAAGCCCAAGGACCAACCACATTTACCACAGCATACAAAGAATTAGTGCTTTAAAGTCTGAGGCCACAAAAATGAAGATAAACTTGCCCTGACTCTGATGTCAGTAGATTCCTGAGCTTTATTAAAACATCTTTGGCTGACTTCTGTGTTTGTCTCTTAGTATACCTAATCAAACTCAAGCAGAAAATGTGTGGGTAAAGTTGTATATACATGAGAGGAAACTGGACCTACTATGTGCTAGGTATTTTGGATACTTTCCTTTTTATTTATTTATTTTTGTTTTAGTGATGGAGTCGCAGTCTGTCACCCAGGCTGGAGTGTAGTAGCATGATCATGAATCACAGCAGTCTTGAACTCCTGGGCTCAAGCAGTCCTCCTGACTCGGCCTCCGGAATAGCTGGGACTAATGCCTGGCTAATTTTGTTTTCTTTGTAGAGATGAAGTCTTGCTTTGTTGCCCACACTGGTCTCAAACTTCTGGCCTCAACCTTTCCTCCTGCCTCCGTCTCTCGAAGTGCTGGGATTATAGGCAGGAGCCACCACACGCAGAGCTTTTCCTTTTTTATGAAAAAGGAAATCTCATCTATTCCTTAATTTTTTAAGTGGTTTTATTGAGGTATAACTGATAAATAAAAATTATGTATATTTAAGGTATGCAACATGATGATTTGATATGCAAATACATTGTGAAATGATTACCACAGTCAAGTTAATTAATGCATCCATCACCTCACATGGTTACCAATTTTTTTTTTTTTTTTTACAGTGTGTTGAAACACTTAAGATCTACTGTCTTAGTAACTCTCATGTATACTGTATAGTATTGTTAACTGTAGTCACTAGTGTGGTTTGGACGTTTTTATTCCCTCCAAAATTCATGTTGAAACACAATGCCCAATGCAACAGTATTAAGAGGTATGATCTTTAGGAGGTGATTGGGTCAGGAGGGCTCCACCCTCATGAAAGGAATTCGGTGAGCTTATAAAAGGGTTTGACAGAAGGAGTTTGCCCCTTTTCACCCCGTGTGTCCCTTTCCCCCATGTGAGGACGCAGCGTTCCTACCCTCTGGGAGATACTGCAACAAGGAACCATCTTGGAACCAGAGAAACTGGGCCCTCACGAGCTGTGATCTTGGGCTTCCCAGTTTCCAGAATTGTGAGAGATAAATTTCTCTTCTTTATAAGTCATTCAGCCTCAGGTATTTTGCTATAGCAGCACAAATGATCCTAGACAATCACCATGCTTAACAGTTGATCTCCAGCACTTACTCATCTTATAACGGAAAGTTTGTATCCTTTGACTAACATCTCCCCATTTCCCACATCTCTCAGCCCCTGGAAACCATCATTTTATTATCTGTGTCTGCAAATTCAACGTTTTTAGATTCTACATATAAGTGAGATCATGCATTATTTGTCATTTGGTAATTGGCTTATTTCCCTTAAGATAATGTCCTCTAGGTTCATCTGTGTTATCATAAATGGCAGGATTTTCTTCTTTTTTTATGGCTGAATAATACTTCATTGTATAATATACTATATTTTCTTTATCCATCCATCCATAAACAGGCATTTAGGTTGATTCCGTATCTTGGCTAGTATGAATAATACTGCAATGAGCGTGGGAGTGCAGGTATTCCTTCAACATACTGAATTCATTTCCTTTGGATATCTACCCATGTATTTGTCTGTTCTCACTGTGCTATAAAGAAATACCTGAGACTCGGTAATTTATAAACAAAAGAGGTTTAATTGACTCACAGTTCTGCGTGGCTGGAGAGGCCTCAGGAAGCTTACAATCACAGCAGAAGGTGAAGGGGAAGCAAGGCACATCTTCCATGGCAGCAGTTAAGAGAGAGGTCACCAGGGGGACTGCCAAACACTTTCAAAAACCATCAGATCGTGTGCGAACTTACTCATTATCACGAGAACAGCATGGGGGAAACTGCCCCCACAATCCAGTCACCTCCCACCAAGTCCTTCCCTTGACATGTGGGGATTACAATTCAAGATGAGATTTGGGTGGCGACACAGAGTCAAACCATATCAACCCAGGATTCATATAGTAATTATATTTTTATTTTTTTGAGGAACTTTCATACAGTTTTCCTTAATGGCTGCACTAATTTACATTCCTACCAATAGTATGCCAGTGTTCTTTTTTCTTCATATCCTCGCCAACACTTGTTATCTTTCATCTTTTTGATAACAGCCATTCTAACAGGTGTAAAATGATATCCTGTGGCTTTAATTTGCATTTCCCTGATGATTTGTGATGTTGATGATTTTTTTCATATACTTGTGGGACATTCATATGTCTTCTTTTAAGAAATGTCTATTCAGGTCCTTTGCCTATTTTAAAATCAAGTTATTTATTTTCTAATTATTGAGTTATATGAGTTTCCTTATATATTTTGGATATTAACGTCTTATCAGATGTTTGAATTGCAAATATTTTCTTCCATTCTGTAGGTTGTCTCCTCACTCTGTTGATTTCCTTGACTGTGAAGAAGCTTTTTAGTTTGATGTAATCCCATTTGTCTATTTTTTCCTTTGTTGCTTGTGCTGTTGGGATCATATCCAAAATATCATTGCTCAGATGAATGTCATGGAGATTTTTCTCCTTGTTTTCTTCTAGTAGTTTCACTGTTTCAGGTCTTATGTTTAAGTCTTAAATCCATTTTGAGTTGATTTTTGTATATGGTGTGAGATAAGGGTCTAACTTCATTCTTCTGCATGTGGATATCCAGTTGTTGCAACATCATTTATTGAAGAGATATCCTTTCCCTTTTGTGTGTTCTTGGCACCATTGTTGAAAATCAATTGACTGTAAATGCATGGATTTATCTCTGGACTCTCTATTCAGTCCCATTGGTCTGTGCGTCTGTTTTTATGCCAGTACCATGCTGTTTTTATTACTATCCTGCAACTTTACTAAATTCCTTATTTTTTGATGCTATTGTAAGTGGGATTGCTTTTAAATATCTTTTTGTTTTTTTTTTTGAGATGGAGTTTCGCTCATCACCCAGGCTGGAATGCAATGGCATGATCTTGGCTCACTGCAACCTCCACCTCCCAAGTTCAAGTGGTTCTCCTGCCTCAGCCTCCCAAGTAGTTGGGATTACAGGCTCCCGCCACCATGCCCCGCTAATTATTTTGCTTTTTTTTTTTTTTTTTTTTAGTAGAGACAGGGTTTCACCGTGTTGTTCAGGCTGGTCTCAAACTCCTGACCTCAGGTGATCAAAGTGCTGGGATTACAGGCGTGAGTCACCATGCCTGGCCTGTTTTTAAATATCTTTTTAAGATAGTTCATTATTCATTGAATCCTTTCAATCAATCCAATAAGTAGTTATTGTCATCACTTTTATTTATGAATGGGGAAACCAAGGGTCAGATTGGTGAAGTAGTTTACCTAATGCTATGATACTCATATAACTAACAAGAGGAGGTACTGGAATTAAATACTAGTATACACGACCCAAAGGAGAGGGTAGAAGATATAAGCTTGCAAATAACTCCTTGCTCCTAGACCATTGCTAATATAAATGGAAATGTCTATTGTATTTATTTGAATTTCTTAAATGAAAATCTGGGAGTGGATAGTGTTACAAAGGGGTCTTAGGTTGGGCACGGTGGCTCACGTCTGTAATCCCAGCACTTTGGGAGGCTGAGGTGGGCAGATCACGAGGTCAGGAGATTGAGACCATCCTGGCTAACATAGGGAAACCCCGTCTCTACTAAAAAAAAAAAAAAAAAAAAAAAAATTAGCCAGGCGTGGTGGCGGGCGTCTGTAGTCCCAGCTACTTGGGAGGCTGAGGCAGGAGAATGGTGCAAACCTGGAAGGCGGAGGTTGCAGTGAGCCAAGACTGTGCCACTGCACTCCAGCCTGGGTGACAGAGCGAGACTCCATCTCAATGCAAAAACAAAAACAAAGGGGTCTTAATTTCTGGGGTTGTTACAGAAGTTGAGCAGTTAAGCAGGAAAATTAACTTTATCCACAGGTCTAATTTTTACTCCATTGCTTTCTCTCTGTATTTGTTATTTTAATTTTGATATTTAGTTTAAATGTTTATCAAAACCATACATCCACATAGTTTTAAAAATCGACTTTGAATAAGAGACTATAATAGTATATAATAGCATCACATAAGACTATAACAAAATATAGGAGTCATCTGTCTCCCTTTCCTCATTTCTTGCTTTTCAAAAAACTACTTTCACATCTTTTGGTTTTTTCCTTTGGATTTCACTTCCATGTCTTCCGTCATTATTTACCAATATGCTTATATGGTTACTTCTTAATTTTTTAGTTTTAGGCACTTTCCATTGGATTTCTGCTATGGAAAATGAGGATTTAGCTGTCTGCCATCTGCTCTGAATATGTTCAGAACCTTTAGGTATTTTATCAATTTTGTCTTCCTGGAGACTTTTCTCCTTGGGCATTCAGACCTGCTTCACTCTGAACTGGTTGATGTTACACCTGGTGACCTGATGTTATCCTAGATCTCTATTTGTATCATCCTGTGGATTCTTTTCGACTTTCTCCTGAGATCAATGCCTTGCTTTTTGGATCCTAGATCTTTCTTGATTTACTCTTATTTGGACAGAGCACCTCCCGAGAGCTTCCTGAAAATGTCTGACTTCAATGTACTGTCCTTATACTTGGTTAGTGGTTTGGTTGGTCACTCCAAATTGGAAATTATTTTACTTTAGACTTTCGAAGGCATTGCCTCATTGTCTTTTCCAATATCTAGTGTTACCCATGTTGGGCAAATTCTTAGGAAGGAATTCAAGAGTGAGCGGTGGTAGAAGAAACCAGTTTTATGGAGGCGGTGGCAGCGTTACAGCTCCGTGTGGGCTCCTGCAGAACAGGGCTACCCCACAGGCAGTGTGTTGAGAGTAGCAGCTCAGGGGCACCTCTGCAGTCATATTTATATCCATTTTTAATTCCATGCAAATTAAGGGATGGGTTATCTAGGAATTTTTAGAAAAGGGGTAGTAACTTCCGGGTGTTGCCATGGCAATGGTAAACTGTCATGACATTGGTGGGTAAGTCTTATGAAAAGGTGCTTTTGGTGCCTCTTCCCTGTTTCAGCCAGTCTTCTATCTAGAGTTGAGTCCTGCCTCCTACCTCTTTAC